CCTCCCGGAAAGAGCACAGGCCAAAGAGGGGTAGTTCTCTTCCAGGGTTAGCTGTTCTAAGGCCATGCAGGCACCCCACCATTCCCTTCTCCAGCCCTGTGCTGTATTCTGAGTGTTAGGTGCAGTTGAACCACAGAAGATGGCCAAGCTTAGGGTGAGGGCCAGCCCTTTGGTTAGTGAAGAATAAGAGGATAAAGAGAGTGTGTGCTTTTTATGGTTGTACAGTTTACAATTAAAATAGAAATACATCAAAATATTAGCAGTGGCTCTTCTAGGTGAGTATGAGGAGTGCATTTTTTTCTCCTGTTTGTTTTCCTGTACTTCCTACATTATTTAGAGTGAGCTGTTATTATTTTAAACTAAAGACCAAGATGAAAAACTGTATTTTTTTAAAAACTCAGAAAACAAGTAAGGTGATTGTCCTTTACACTGAGCTGACACCTGAATACGCATAGCTCATCTACACCCTGTGGCCTCCACCTGAACCTGGAGTTTAGGGCCCTGGAAGTACCCCAAAACTTTCTGCCAAGATGGCCCCAAGACAGGAGAGAAATCTCTCCCAGGCCTGGATCTCTTCTTACTGGATTAGCACCCCCAGCTCCTTAGGCTGACTCCAAACCACTGAATGCACAACACTAAGAGTGAACCCTATTGTAAACCATGGACTTTGGGTGATGTTGTGTCACTGTAGGTCCATCAATTGTAATTAATGTATCACTCTGGTGAGAGAGATTGATAATAAAGAAGACTGTGCATGTATGGATGGGGGCAGTGGGACATGGGTGATCTCTACACCTTCCTCTCAATTTTGCTGTGAGCCTAAAACTACTCTAAAAAAATAAGGCTTTTTAAAAAAACCAATTGACCATAGATGTATGGTTTTATGTCTGGACTCAATTCTATTGCATTGATCCATTTGTCTATCCTTATTCCAGTGCCACCCTGTTTTGGTTACTGTAGCTTTTAGTTAGTTTTGAAATGGGGAAGTGTAAGTCCTCCAACTTTGTTCTTTTTTTCAAGATAGTTTTGGCTATTAGTGGGTTCTTGCATTTCCATATGAATTTGAGGATCAGCTTTTCCATTTCTATAATGGAAAAGGCCCTTGGGATTTTGATGGAGGTTGTGTTAAATCTGTAGATCACTTTGGGACAGCCTGAGGGAGTGACAGGGATGGGGCAAGGGTGGGCAGAAACTATGCTGGGCATGGAGAGAGCAGGGCTTTCCAGGAGGTGAGGACCAGGAACAGAAAGGGAGGGCTATCTGGAAGTCACCAGCCATGGCCAGCTCTGACCAGGAAGGAGGGACGTAGTGGTCACTGCCATGCACTGAGGAAGGGCAAGGAGAAGAGGGCAGAGGGACTGATCGGTGACCAGACTCCTCGTGTCCTGGCCAGTTTCCCGGGAGGTACCCCAGGGAGACTGTNCCCCCTCTCTGCCAACTGGTATTCCCCTGCCAACTGGTATTCCCCTGGGGATTGTTTAAAAAGTAACAAGCCCACATTCCATGCAGACCACTTCAGTAGGCATGCCCAGAGGTAAGGCTCAGTGGTGTGTCTTTAAAGCTCCCCAGGTGGTTATAATATCCCAGCACATAACCAGGCTGTGAGCCCTGTGCTGGACACCCATACAGCCCCAGCATCTCCCAAATGTCAGGCCTGCTCGTCCTGATTGAGCAGAGCTTAAAGATGGCTACTCTTTCTTAGTCCCCCAGGAATGGGCTCTGACAGTGACCTGTCTGGCCCATTGGTAAGTGTTTGTCCCAAGCCCTCAAGCCTTCGTGTGGCCACGGGGATCTTTAGTATTGGCTTTCCCCCAGGCTCCTCAGAACAAGCGCAGGAGGAGGCAGTCTGAGCTATTTTGAAGCTTTCCAGAAGTTTATGGCTGGAATCCCATGAACCCATGGTGGTAATGCTGGTTATTTCAGCTAATCAGAAACTCAGCTTGGCAGTTATGTGTAGTTTCGATGAATAAAAATGGGAAAGCCATAAGTTTTACTGAGTAAGTGGGACTTGGTAGCCAGAGATTTTAAAACGACAGGTCTGGTGGGCTGGGATCACCTCTGGCCAGCTCCTCTCTTTGCCATGAGTATGTGAAACGTTTAAACAGAGCCTACTGCACCACCAGCTGGACTTGGCCTGACCAGGTGGCACCCAGGCGTTATTGACAGGCACCCTGCACCAAGGGTCTTCAGTCATTTACCAGGAGTGGAGAGAATACTGAGACCCCTGCTCAGTATGGGTGGGGCAGCAAGTCCCCTCCAAGATCTACCTCTTTGGCAACCCCCCCAGTTCTTTCTCAGCCCTGGCCAGGCGGTTGTCTGTTTCCTACCATATCTCCCTCCACATACTTCTGCATACCCCAGCCAAGTTGATTTTTTTTTAAAGCATCACTTTGCACATGTCACCAATCTCCTTAAAACCAACCTGTGGGGGGTTTCTGCACATAAACCCCATTTCAACCAATCTGGTTTGCCCTCTCTACAACCACATGGAATTTATGCCAGCCCCTATCCAGATGCCCTCTCCACTCACAAATCATTTCATGCTGTTCTCACATTTTGGAATATGCACTTTCTCTTTTCCCCAACCCCCATCTCTTTTATTCCTTTTGACAATTTATGTAACGGGATTAAGACTCCCTTTCTGAAGGGTTGACGTAACCATGTTAAAAGAACAGGTACTTTTCTTTTTTGGAAGTGTGAGCAGAACCTAGTTCCTTCTGTTCAATTTCTTTCACTGTTTTATTATGTATTTAAATTCCTTTCATTTTATTTAGGTTCTCAGTATAATGTTATAAGAGATCATCCTTGAAATAGTTTAATTGTCCTTGAATTTAGTTGTTTGTTGTCTTAACTTTTTTTCCTCATGGCAGATGTTGAGTGTTGTAAATCAACTCTTGATTTTGTTTACTAATTGAATTGTGTCAAAGTATATGTATCCCGCTGGTTTCTTCCTTCCCTTTTTTTTGCTTAGTACTTCATATTTCTAAGATTAATTATTAGTTAATCATATTTTAATATTTCTAGTAAATGTGGGTACTTTGGTCTATGATTTCTTCTTATAGTTAGAGCTTTTTCTGCACTCCATAAGTTTGATATGTGGTATTTTTTTTCTTATTAGGATTTTCCTTTTCGCCCAAGTGTTAGTATTATTATTATTTTTTAATATTTTCAAATGATGAATGCTTAGGTCATAGCTGTTATTTCTTATGGTATTGTGGTGTCAACATTTCTAAGCGTCTATAGAACTTTTTTGGACCTGAATATAATTATCAATGTTTATAAAGCATTTATGTATTCTCAAGAAATGTGTTTTTACCCCCATCAGTTCTATTTGTTAACTCAGTTTTAAATTATTTTATTCAAATCCATACTTTCTCTAAATTTTATTTACTTCAGAGATCTGAACCTGGGGTTTATGCCCTGCCTAGGAATCTGAGCATGCAGGGGTTTTAAAGGTCGTGAACCCCTTGGGACTGAACAAAGCCGTGTGGATATGTGCATGAATGAACCGTTCTGGGAGGGGTGTCTGTAGAATTACCTGCATTTTGGAAGGGCTCTGTGACCCCCCAAATAATTAAGAACACTCATTTACCTGATCTAATTGCAGTCTGATTTTGTGTGGTTTTTTTTTTCTTTATTTCTGTTTCCTTTTAATTTCTGTTCCTCTTTTATGTGTGTTGTTGCTATGTTAGTCATGCAATTATCTCCTTTTTGGGAAATAGGCAGGGTATAAATTGTCAATAAGTACCATATTTGGGGTGTATATATTTAATAGTGATATATTGAAAATCTGTGCCTTTTAGTGCCTTCTTTGCCTCTTTTAATGCTTCTAGCTTAAACTTCTCTTTTCCAAATATCATAATTGAAGCCCCTTGCTTTTCCTAAATTTGCATTTGCATGACAGTTTATTTAGCTTAGCATTTAATTTTTGAAATTTGTGTATATATTTTGCTATACGCGTATATCTGTAACTTATAAACACCAAATTGTTGGATTTTGTTTTCTGATTCTTTCTGTAATTCTCTTTCTTGTTGTGTAAGAAGTTCTATCACTAACATTATTTAGAGTAAGGCATAATTTATTTTCGTCTTAATATTTTAATATATATTAACTCATTTAACCCCCAAAGGCCATGCTCATTCCCTTCCCTCCAGCTCTATGAGTTATTAACCAGGTGTGCAGTATCATTTCTGGGTAGATTAGAGGTGTGCCATTGGGCACACCTGATCTTCCCTGCCTTCATCAGTTCCAGGCTCTGTCCCAAACCCACTCTTCAAGTCACAGCCTCTGGCTTCAGTGTCTTGGCTGTAATGCAGAGGAATGATGCCACCTGATAGCCTTATGGAGCTCAAAGGACTAAGGAATACAAACTTGTGGGGCAAACTGAGGATGTAGATGATGATTACACTATTAGTATTTTGAAATATTTAATTTTCTGTTCTTACTGCCAAAGTTCTGTCAACATAACTTAGAACATTACATTGTGCTTTACTTTTTAGAAAATTCTACCAGATGTAGCAAAGAATTAGGGATCACAGATCCATCCCACTCTCCCAGCGTGAACCCACAGTCATTTGAAGAGAGGGTGGACCCTGATCTTGTACCCCCCAACCCCTATCACCTGTCTGTCCCAGGCCCATCTCCCCTCAACATTCCCATTTCTTCCCTAACCCCCTCCCGTGGTGGGGGGAGAGCACACTCAACAACTGCAAAGGCTCAAGGAAAGGTGACTTCTGGCCACCCCTGTTACAGGCGGGGAAATGACTTACCACAGGTGTGGTGACTTAGTGTCATATCTGCCCGGTGTGGGGAAGAACAGTTCTGGATGTTCTGCTGTAGCCCCACCCAGTTGCCATGGCGTCTCAAAGGCGACAAATGGCTCAGGCACCATACATAGCCAAGGTGAAAACCAAATGGCCTCAACCCACCCAGAGTTGCTCAGCTCAGNAGCCAGAGCTCTAACCTCATCGAACATCGGAAGACCCACACCGGCGAGAAACCATACAAATGCCATAAGTGTGGGAAGGCCTTCAGCCAGAGCTCCTCCCTCATTGAGCACCAGCGGATCCACACCGGGGAGAAGCCCTATGAGTGTGGCCAGTGCGGGAAGGCCTTCTGCCACAGCTCTGCACTGATTCAGCACCAGAGAATCCACACCGGGAAGAAACCCTATGCATGCAACGAGTGCGGCAAAGCCTTCCGGCACAGGTCAGCCCTTATCGAGCATTATAAAACCCACACCAGAGAGAAACCCTATGAGTGTAACAAATGTGGCAAGTCCTTCAGGGGGAGCTCACACCTCATTCGGCATCAGAAAATCCATGCTGGGGAGAAGCTCTAGAAGGAAGCGCGCACACCAAAGCATGCAAGTCTTTCCCAGATGGAGCCCGCAACCAATCACTTTGTCTGCAAGGCCCTGCCCACCTCTCTGATAACAGTGCTGAACCTAGGTGCTCCTGAGTACCCACACCAGCTGCAAGGACCCCTGTTGGCCCTCACCAGGTGCCCTGCGCTCAGCACGTTTACTGAGCGGAAGAGAAGGTGGGGTAATAGGAAGGCCACAAGAATGGAGGTGTGCCCAAAAAGAGCTGGCCTTCGGTTTTCTCATTCTTATATTTGACTTACAAGCCTATGAGGCTTCATTTTGCCCTCTAGTCCATAATCCAGAAGAGGAATAAACGTAACAGGGAAAGAGTTGACTTAAACCCATGAAGATGTTAGGTGAACTCTTTAATATCATACTGAAGTCTGGCACTTTTAGAAGAAGTAACCATGCTCACAGCCCAAATCAGCTGAAGAAGAATGAATCCAAAAAGTAGATACCTCAGCCACAAAACAGAATCTTCTGCCTGGCTTGGACACTGGTGGGGACAACCAAAACAGGTTACAGATAAAAGCGAGGGCCTGGGAGGATAGTTCTGGGGTTGGGAGTGAGGGTGTGAGTTCCTGGTGTGGTCTCCTAATCCTGTTCTGTGTTAGAGTGAGGGTGGTCTCTTTCACAGGAGGGTAGAGGTTTGGTCCTATAGGCCAGAGGACATTTGATGCCCAGCTCTGACTCAGCCCAGGCCTGAGGCATTAGCAACTAACCCCTCCACAAGACTCAGGCCCCCAGGACTGTGGCGTGCCTTGGATGTCAGCAGGGCTTGTTTCTGTTCTGTATGCAGCCTCCTTTCTGCCCTCCAGTGCTGGAGGATGTTGGAAGCAGGGTGATTTGATCAGAGGTGCAGGTTCAAGTGTCAGTTCTGCCCCTTCTGCCTGTGTGACCCTGAGTAAGCCCCAAGACTGTTTTCCCATCCATGCAGTGGGGATAGTGGGACCTGGCCACATACTTCTAAAGGTTGGCGCAAGGCTCCTGGTGGTTGAGGATGGACACTCAGAATGACCCCTCTCCCACCAGGACACTGCAGAGACACTGTCCCTGCAGACTGGAGAGACATTCCCCCTCCGCCCTCCCCCCG